TGAGCATTTTTCTTTCATTTTTGGCCATTTACTATATTTTATCTGTTCTTTGTTTTGTCTTCCAAAGACTATTACGTACATTAGATTAGGTAAGCCTTTTAGGATAAAATTTTAATTCAGTAATTTCTTTTAAGATTGGCCCAAGTGTTTGTTGCATTTATCAGTAATTTATTCCATTTTTATCACTTAAGTTTAGATGTACTACAGTTTATTCTTTGCTAAAAGACATCTGGATTACTTCCAGTTTGGGCTATTATAAATCTCTGTTTTTCACTTCCTGTGGGTTATTTGAACTTTCTTAGGATTTTTGTTTTGATTTAATTGATTCAATGGCAGCTGGTTTGACTTGGGTATCTAGATTTATCTATGGGGTTTTGTATCTGTGTATAGTAATTTCTCTAGTGATTGTGTTAGCATTACAGTATGCGTGTGTGACTTGACAAAATCTGCTCTAAGGTGGTGGTATAAGTTTTTGTCGATAATCAAATATTTATACTCTTTACGAGGAGAATGATAACCTGTTGACTGTACCCATATTTCTGGTATTTCTGTTCATCCTTCCAAGATTTCCTGTCATTTTCTGTCTCTTTTTAAAACTTCCTATAATCACTCTTTAAAATATAAAACTTTTGTAGCAGTGTAGATCTGCTAGTTTCTCTTCACCAGAGAATGGCATTATATCCAAAGACATTCACCAGTGGATAGATTCACCAAACATGGAATTAATGGTTGACAGGGTTTTTTGTTTGTTTTGTTCAGCACATTAAAAAACAAACAAACAACTGTGCCACTTCCTTCTGTCCTCCGTAGTTTCAGGTGTGGAATTCCTGAAATTGAAAATGGCATTCTAGTTGCTGGCAAGGTGGCAGACACACTACAGAGCGAAGACATGTGAGACCAAATGAAACACTTCTAGGTGATGATCCTGGAACCCTGAGCTTCAGAAGAAAGGATCGTGCGGTGGATGGCATACCAATTAGGAAAAGAAGCTGGACAAAAATGGTTACAGAGGGGACAGATGGAACTGGTGAATTGTCAATTTGCCTGATAGAGCGTGGCCATGTTGAGCTTTTGAAAAGCAGAGTTCAGTAAAGACAGAGACCTGATTATTGGTTTCACTCACCTAAGAAAGCACACGTATCCACACAGTTGACTGGTAACCATAAAGCCACTGTCTCCACGTGGCCCAATCACACCCATAGCTCCCACATAGCTTACCCACTGGGGAGGGCCTGCTTCCGTACCACCTGGTCACTGATACATAATATCCAACACCAGCCAAACCTGTTCTCCACTATTGTGCACACACTCCTATGCTTTATCACAGCCACGAGGGAACAAATGTTGAGTGCCATAGAACACACTAACATACAATCACCGACTCAATTATAGTAACACCACAATATGTCAGAGATAATCAATAGGTAATTTCAGTTCAATGAAGAAACAAGATAGTCTCAAACAAATGACCCAAAGACAGTAAAAAAAAAAAGCAGTCTGAGGGGAAAATGGCATTGGAACTACCTGATAAGGCATTTAAAAGAATGAAACTTACTTTCAGTGACTTTAGAAAACGATCAAGAAAGCTTCTGACAAAATCAAGAAAAACACCTAATGAAAATAAAAAGGCTCAGGAATATTTTAAGAAAATACAACAAGAACAAACTGGCAAAATACTACAAATTATATAAAAATGGCAAACAGAAATCTAAAAGATAAATGCTAAAGTTTTAGAAATAGATGATGCATTGAACAAGCACAGGAGTAGAACTGAATCAACAGAAGACAATTAATGGGATTAAAGAAAAATCTCAATGTTGGTCTGTTACAGGAACAACCAGGGAAAAGGAGAATAGATAAAAAGCCTAGAAATCCTGCGGGACAAGATCAAGAGAAATAACTTACATATGACTGGAATAGCTTCAGAATGGGAAGAGACCAAAAAAATTGTCAAAGGGTTACTCAGAAGTAAATTCATCCACTATGGACACCCGAATTTTGACACAAGGCTGAAACACATTAAATGGGAAAGAGATGGTGTCTACATACAACAATGGTGCTGGCAAAACTGGATGTCTATTTGTTGAAAAAAGAAATGAAACTCATACTTCATACCATATAAAAATGAACTCAAGATGAATGAAAGAGCTAAAGGTAAAACTTATAAATATCATCAATGAAAAGGACACAGGGGCCCTAAGAGATGACGCAAATGCAATAGCAAACATAACTGAAAACACAAAGAGCCACAGACAAACTAAATGGGACTTCTTAAAAATTGGACAATTTGTCCATCAAAGGATTTCATTAAAAGGGCACCTACAGTCTGGACAAAAACATTTGGTAGTGACATATAAGAAGAGGGAGTAGACTTTCTATAAAGCTTATAGAAATCTTGAACACAGTAAGAGAAGCAATCCAATTAAAAAATGAGCAGAAAACATGAATTGACACTTCACCAAAGAAGACATTTAGGTGGCCAACAAACATGAAGGATTGCACGTTCTTGTCAGCTACAGTGGAGATGCGAAGGAAAGCAATGAGATGTCATTTGACACTGGCATTAATAGCAAGGTTAAAACAGAGAAAATGACCAAAGCTAGCAATGGTGTGGAGAGACTAGGACCCTCATACAATGCTGGTGGGACTGTCAAATGGTAGGGTGAATCCTTAAACGTTGGAAATTTTGTATGACCCAGAAATACTTCTACTTAGTGTCTAGCTTGTCTGTCATACAGAAAGAAGAGCTATGACATGAATAGATCTATGCACTCCCGTTTCCATCACAGCACTAGTCACAGTTCCAAAAGGAAATGGAGCCAACCTAAACGCCCAGCAGTGGAAGCACGAATGAGCACACAACACACAGTGGAATATTGTGCCACCGCAAACGATGGCATCTGTGAGGCACCTTCTGACATCAAAGTGGGAGGACTTTATGCTGGCTGAAATGAAGAAATCACAGAAATAATTTGTTGTATTCGACCACTATTGTAAAAAGGCAAGAAAGGGTGTTCATATTAAAAGAAGCATTTCTTGATGGCTCCCTGAGGGGGGAGCAGAAGGGATGGCACCTATATACTCAAGTAGAAGCCGGCCCAAATATCAGCCAAGGTACCCAATTTCACCACAAAAAAACTGCCGAAAACATGTGCTGAAAGACTCTGCTTATACACGAGATATATGTGGTAAATTACTGGTTAGTGAGTGAGTAGACACATGATAAGATGGGTGAAGGGGAAGGCGATATACACTGAAAGAGATGTTAACAACAACAAAGAAGGAAAACAACAACAAAGAAGGATGGAAGCACAGGTAGACACGCGCGAAGTGAAAGACGGGATGGGGAACCTTGGTTTTCATAGGCATTCTCTCCATCCCTAACCTTTCTAAGACATGCACGTTTGGTTTAGCATTGTGCAAGTTAAACAGAGACCACAATGGGAACTGGCTACTGTTCTGAGAATGCATATCAAAGATCTTTGAGGAAATGGAATGAAAAGATAATGAAAATTTTCTGGAAGCTTTCTGAAGGCCCCTCTTGTGAGCAACTAACCAGGTTGAGAGGAAGGTTCTGGTGTTTTTCTCCCGTCATGTAGTTGAGTTTCTATCTTCACGTGCTTCATTTACCAAGGCCCTATTGGCTTATTACCTCAGAAATTATATTAGTTATCGGAAGTTATATGTGTTAGAATGGGGGGATGGGATTGGTAGAAAACTATGCACCTGAAAATTTACAAGAAGTTGTTTATTTCACCGCTCATCTGTTGATTAGCCTTCAGTTTAAGATTTCACTGATTTATTCCTAATAAATTCAACCAGTATGAAAAGGCTGTGGACCCTCTTAGAATTCAGGCATAAAATTGTCTCTTCAAACAAGTCTTGTATGCTCTGCTGTGTGTTTTCTCAATCACAGAAATAAAATAAATTGTTAAAAGGTCTTTTATTATTAGCAAATAAAATGATGACTAGATTAACATTGAAACATTGTAGAAACTTGATTATCTTTGTGGGGCAAAAGAAAAAACTTCAATTGGGGAGATCATGAAGTATATTAGACACCCAGTAGACTAAAAATGATATTTACTGCCTGTTAGATGTGTTCAAACTTCTGTCTACTTTACAGACCCAGTTCAAATGACTTTCTAACATAGACTTTCATTTCTTCCCATCCCTTGTATATACGCATTCCAGTTTTTTCAAACCACTCAACTTCATCTGCATCTCTGTTTCGCCTCCCTCCCATCTTTTTCTTTTCACCTCACCTTGACCTTGTCCCTATCTCAACATAATGTACACTTAAAATGGGTGCATTTGGCTCTCTAAATTAAATCTGTGAATTTTACTTGCAAATTCAAGCTTTTAAAATCCTTTTTATAACATTTTATGGATAAGTATGTGCCCATGTGTGCGTAGACGCACAGCAAAAGATCTGTTGGTTTGAGAACACAAAGCATTGAGGTAGCCATTACACAGTTATAAAGGTAAAAATTGGAGAACATTTACAACACACTGACCTTGGAAAAAAAAACCGTAACCACCATTTATACCTAATTCCCTCCAGGTTAGCACAAACCTCAATGGCAGAAATTTCTTCCGCCACAGGCTACGTGACCTTTTCCTTGAATTCCCAAGATTTGTGTGTTTCCCATTTCCCACACAATTAAGGACAGCTCCGTGTGTGGACACCCTCACCAGCCAAACAGAACAGAACTCTGTGACCAAGGGTCGCGGTCCTCCCATGTGTATCAGTGCCTCGTTCCCAAGGACGTGAGGACTCGGGCTTCCCTGGCAGGGAAACCGTGTCGTGATCAGTGTGACAAAAGTCTGTGGAAGCTGTGAGTCTGGAGCATTTCTCACAAGTGCGTCCTCCCGTCCCACAGTGCTGTCATTTCCACTCGCCTTTCATGGCCACCGGAGGCCCGAACCGTCCCTCGCTTCAAGGCTATGAAATGGATTGTTGCAGATAAATTTTACCTCTTAAAACCTTGTGTTTGCAGAAAGTCCAGTCTCCTCCCTGGAGTCACCTTCGAAAGCTGTTTTAAACTCAAAAGAGACAACTCCAGTGGCACAAATTGCAGCCCAGGTACTTACTGTGAGATGTTCTGTAAGGGACATTCATTCCAAATGGAGAAGTATCTGCTTTGCTCTTGAGGAAGCACTTGGGTCACATTTCAGTGTAGAAAACACTTTAATGTGCTTGAAAATGTGCTATGTGGATCTGCCCATTTATACAATTAAAAGAGTCCAGTTGATTTTTCCCAGAAGGTATGGAAAATAACACAACTTTTCATTTGAAAAAGTAGGAAAGATTTTCAAGGATAATAACCATTGTGTTTGATGGTATACATGTAAGGAAATGAGTACTCTCATAGACTGTCACTCTTCCAGTCAATTAGCATTGCATTTGGGAACACAATTTGGAAGTGAGATGGAATATTTTTTTAGAATGTTTGAGACCTCACTCATTCTGAATGGGTGATTTTTCAGAGTATAGACATCTTAACCCCAGTAGAAACTTACTAGATTAAAAAAAGATTGGATCCCGTCTCACATATTCTTTTTTTTCCCCTTTAAGCATTGTTGAGATGAAATTCATATAACGTAAGTGTAAGCATTACAGTGGCGTTCAGTCCATCACATTGCC